CCCTTTTCTAGTATAACCTAGTGCTTTCCCAGTTTAATATTATAGCTGTACCAGCAGAGCGTTCCAGATGTAGACTTGTCTTTAAATGTGTTGGTCTGGAACCCAAATTACTAGGTGTTAAAGTACCGTATATTCCGGCGTACAAGACGACCTCTGATGTTAAAAAACATCCCCCAAAAATCGGGTGCCTCTGGTCTGCTGGGGACCATCTCCAGCAGACCAGGGACACCGGGAGCAAAGGAGGCGGAGGGGCGCTGGGGTATAAGATGAAACCCTATCTTTTAATTAAAAAGATAGGGGGTCGTCTTATACACCCAGTCGCCCTATACGCCGGAAAATACGGTATTGATCTGAGGAAGTGGGTCTGGCCCTCGAAAGCTCATCACCTAATAAACCATCTTGTTAGTCTTTAAAGTGCTACATAGTTCTGTCTTTTGTTTCAGCTAGACCAGACTAACACGGCTATATCTCTATCGCTTTTTATTAAGTACTGACTTCATTCCCGATGTGAGAGAAGAAAAGCATTTACATTATATAGCTGACATAGGCTAGGACAAGGAAGCTATAACTGTATTATTATTCTTCCTTGACAGTGATGTTAATATGGAAATTTGGAAGCAAAAATGCTTTCCAGATAATGCATTAGTTACATTCTGGAATGGCAATCTGTGCCAGTATTCCACTCAGCATTTCTGGACAGAACAAAAATCTGGAATCCTATTTCAATAAAGTATTAGTCTGGCCTTTATTATTTAAGTCATTATGTCACTTAAAAGGTTTTTATACCACTTTACAACTTGGTCAATCAATCAATATATTTATGGGCAATTGGTTTACAAAACTAATAGAAATGAGGCCAAACTCTCACATTCATTTTGAAGGGATCTGTGGAAACACATTGGAAGGCAAAATGTTGACCCTTTGAGTGTCAATGCTAGGAAACTATAGAAAAATATAATGTTTTTAAAATTGTCGTTGGCAACCTCACACATATACTTTGCAAGTATTTGAAAGGAAAAGTATGCAAAACTACACTGGAAAAGAGGGGGAGATGATGAAGAGTAAGAATAGCGGTATGTGTAAATAATTTATTTTATCCGGTTATTAAACTGGACAAGTCTAGGTACTCAAAGAAATGAATGCAAGAGATATTTTTGGTAGCAAAGTGAAGAGTTATTGATCTTGCACAGTTACTGTGATTCTTTGAGATACGTCCCTCTATGGGTGCTCCATCCAGTCTGTGTGCCTCAGTTTAGATATTTTAGGTAGAAGGGATCATTCTGCCAACACACGTGCTGTCTCCTCATCTCGTGCTTTGCATTGGTGCCAAATAACATTGTGTGGGTGAAATATCATCAGCTTTCTTTTCTACCACAGAGCTCACAGATAAGATCACTAAAACAGAAGGAAGGAAGACGAGTAGTAGAGCACCCACAGGTACATGCATCTTGAAGAACCATAGTTACTGCACAAAGTGAGTAACAGTTTCTTCTTCTTTGAGTAGTGTACCTATGGGTTCTCCATTCTAGGTGATTAACACCAGTAGTCCTAATAGAGGACTGGATCTTCAGAGTCAAATCTAAGTCTGAAGATAACATGGTGGTACCAAATATGGCATTGGATGCTGATTTGTGTCCATATAATGTTTAGCAGATGTAGAAGCAGATGTCCACATCATTGCTCGCATATTTCTGTGATTGGAATATTCTTGAGGAAGGCTTGTGGAATGAGTTTGCACTGCAGAAGGCAGTTGAAGGTCATGAGCCTGATGGCAATACCTAATGCAATCCGATGTCCATTTAGTGTCTTTGTTTAGAAATTGGGGATCCCTTACATCTGTCTCCAGTGAAGAGGAATAGTTTGGGAGATCTTCTGAGAGATTTAGTCCCATCTAAATAGATGGCTAATGCTCTCCTGACCTCAAGAGTGTGTAATGCTGCCTCCCTTTTGTTCTGGTGTGGTTTAAGAAAGAAGACTGGGAGGCAGATAAGCTGATTTATGTAGAAGTTTGAAAGCATTTCTGGTAAGAATTTAGGGTATGGTCTTCATGCAATCTTGTCTTTGAAAAAGATTGTAAATGAGATCTGCCATTAGTGCACCTCTCTCCCACTGTCCAAGTAAATATGATGGTCAGTAAGAACGGTTTTCATAGCAAGACATATAAGAGAGCAAGTAGCCAAAGGGTAGCCAGAGTGTAACCTGCAACAGACAGGAAGGAGCCGGCCAGGCCCACCATGGACAGGGGCTTCTCTGGCGGGCTCTGCAGGGCTAGAACAGTGGGGAGGGCAGGGAACTACTTCAGCCCCTACCGGTTAACAGGTTACCTTTTTACATACCTACTGCAGATATAAATTGGATATCTACAAGTACACGGTGTTCTAAATATAAAATTTATATCCGCATCTGTATCCACACAAAAAAAAAAGAACCATGGACATCTGCATCCACATCTGCAGATTTGCAAGGCTCTAGAGATGGGAAAAGCACATATGTGGGCCAAATAGACACTGCTACCTAAAATCTCTGATCTGAATTGCAGAGATGTTAATAGATAAATATGTGGAGTGGATTACCCACATGGGCAGTACTTACAGACACGTAATTTAACAACTGTGTTAGTTACATAGAAAACCAGAACCATTCCATTTCTGGGGAAAATGTTTATTTTTAATGGCTCTCTTTTCTGTCTCTGTGATGACTACACACATACTAGAGGTTGAACCTCTTTAATCTGGCGCTCTCCGGTTTGGCAATATCCATGGTCTGGCATTATTTTAGTTAGCCAGTTAGGTGCGCGTATCCTAGGTGTGGTCAAGTTTACCACAGTCCCATAAAGTTTGTTTACAGCCAACAGTCCTGGCTCTCAATGTTTGGTGTTGTTATTTAGCTCTAATTTACCCCTAAATGTCTTCTTAGAGCCCAGTAAGCAGTGGGAGTGTTGGTAAAGCTGCTAGTCAATACTGACTTCCCGTGGTACAGCAAATTCTCTGGATTAGCACTGGTCAGATTTCAAGGGTGCTGGACTAAAGAGGTTCAACTTGTATTCTAATTAAAGTAGTTTAGCTAAGGGATTAAAGTAATGAAAGACCACAAAGTGGGAACTGGACATCTGTCTGTCTCAATATGGAATGGAGAGTAAATCTACAAATATATACATACAGAACATGTTCAGCAATACTCACCTTTCTGAAAAATCTGATTCTATAAATTCCCGAGCCCGTTTTCTGTCCCTAGAGAGAAGGAAACATTTTTTAAAAATATAACATCTATCTTTTATGCAGGGACCCAAGAAAATCCATTCATTTTCTATACTGGAATGTTAATAGACTTATATTTGGGTATTTTTAAAAAATCATTCATTTTTAAGTACAGTTAAAGGTACTATGTAAACTATGGTGAGAGAAAAAATAATGCAAATGTCATCTGAGAGAATTTAAGTGAAAAATATTTAAGATTTTAGATGCAGCATGATGCAAAGAACAGACTATCATAGTGCAGGGGTGGCCAACCCGTGGCTCGTGAGCCTCATGAGGCTCTTCGCCCCTTAAAGTGAGGCTCGCAAAGCCACCTGTGCCTCTAGAAATGGCCCCGGCTCCCTGTGCTCTCCAGGGCAGGGGAGCTGTCTGGTGCAGCGATTCAAAATGGCATTGCCAAGATGGCAGTGGGCAACGGGAGCCTGATGTGGCCAAAATGCCTCATGTGGCCAAAAAGCCTCGTCTTTTCTTTTAAAGAGGCAGCGACTTTTTTTTCCTCAACAAAAATTGCTAAAAAAAATTCTGGTGCAGCACTTTGCATTTTTTCACTGTTTTCTTCGTTTAATGGGTTGGCCACCCCTGTCATAGCGGGAAGGCAAGCTGTTTAAAACATTCAATGTGTATAACTTCTTCTCTAGGTAAGAATGGGGGTTTGGGAAGAAGGCAGGCAGACAGGTTGATTCAGATATAATTTTCAGACCAGCTGGTTGATGCATTTATGGATAGATAATGCTAAACTCATAACACATGAAACATCAAGGAAGGAGGATCAGCCACAAGCTAGGGATGTAAAATCCGATTTCAAATGTTAATTTGTTAAACTTTGCTGCACTGTGCCATTGGTGAGGGGCCTTGGAGTAGCCCCCCACCTGTGGCATGGCACAGTGGGTGTGGCTGGGCTGGAGCAGCCTCCCCTTCCATGTCACGGCATGCTGGGCTGCTCTGGCCAGGCCAGGTGCTGGTTAACCAGGTAAGCATGCAGGTAAGGCAATGCTTACTGGGTAACCGATCACCCCTTTATATCCCTACCATAAGCACCTTAGAACTTGCACTCTCTCTCGGCTGAAATGACTGCTACTAGGAAGATAGGCTTCAGAGTGAAATGATGACCAGCATTCTACAGTCTCTATGCCAAAGGGGAATTGGACATAAATCAGACATCAGGAATGGTAACACACACAAATCTGTAGGGGAACATTTTAACCTCCATAGACATTAAATAATGGATTTAAAAGTAGTCATTCTTCTACAAAAGAATTTTAGCACCCAACTACAGAGGGAGACAACTGAACTGGAGTTCATTTAAAGTGCAACACTTATGCTTGAATAAAGATCTTAACTGGTTAATGTACTATAAAGGCAACTTCCCCACCTTTGATATTCACATTGCCACATCACATGCTATGAATGACACACATCCAGCCTCACTTAATTAGATTTAACAACACTGGTCCTACAATTTACAGGTAACTTCATTTGCTGTTATATATATCCTGAATTCTGTAAGTTCCACTCTCACTCATCTGATGAAGTGGGGATTTTACCCACAAAAGTTCATGACTTAATACATTTGTTAGTTTCTGAGGTGCCATAGGATTACTCATTGTTTTTAAAGTTATAGACTAACATGACTACCCCTCTGAGCATTCTGAAAGGAACTCCAAGAGAGGTTCCATGATTCCTGAGAGGAATACAGGTTGTAGGCAGGTTCTTTGATCAGGCACTGAGACACTGATATTATCAAGTGAGAGAAGACTCATTAATACAGTTCCATTAGAGCTGAATGATAGATTGGAGCGTGGTAAATGAACCAAACTACTTGAGGCGCTGTAATACTGAAGGCTACATATGGTGCAGGCCCAGCTGAACTGCTCTAATTGAGAAACTCTTCCATTTGACAAACAAGTCCTTGTACTGGACCCCTTTCTGACATATCAGGATCTTCTAGACTTTTCTAGAGCAGTTCCTTTCTTTATCTGGCCAATATCCAAGCCTATCAGGTGCAGCAACGTAAGATCAGAATCAAGTATCTGACTGTGCTGCAGTGAAAGCAGGTCTAGGAAGTTTGGTAACTGAAGCTAAATTGACAATTGTAACAGGTTTGTCAGCCAGAATTGTCTTGGCCAGTATGGAGCCATGGGAATGATCACAGATTTCTCCTGATTTTGGAAATCACTTTGGGGACCAGTGGAACTGGTGGAAGGGGGGGCTGTATACTATTGAAGAAGGAAGGCATCGATCAGCCAAGGAGCCTAGGCTCTTGTCCAGTCTGGAACCCTTGATATAGTCATTGGTGGCAAACAGTTTTATTATGAGACTCCTGCTTTATGATTAATCTCCAGAGGAACTCTTTGTGATTGGATGGAGACTGTCAGCTCTGAAAGCCTGCCAAGTCATTGTTAACACAGTCCATAAGTGAAGAACAACAGGGTTATCCTCTGTTGGTGGCACCCTCTCCAAGGCTTGATAGACAAGCATGCATATCCTTGGTGGTTGATGAAGCGCATTACTGATATGCTGTCTGTTTGGATTGTCACTGTAAAATTCTGAAAAAAGGTAGGAAGGCCAAGGAGCTGGTCTGATGTGTCTGAGCTTCAGGACACTGATGTGGAACCCCCTCTCCTCCAGATCCAAGTGACAGCTACGGCATCAATAGGAATTTGTCTGCAAGTAGGTATGCTTTCTCTAATCTAGGTTTCAAGACTCTTATGAACTTTATCATTTGTGATGGGTTAAGAGAAACTGTTATGTAATGAACACCTTAGCTCAGAGAACTGGAACAGGACATATCCTAGGCTTGACACCACCTCCTTCTGGGATCTGCCCTGAGTCAGCCAGTCATTCAGGTACGGGTAAGTGGGAATGACCTCCTTTCTGAGATGCCTCACAACAACTTATAGGCACTTTGTAAAATCTCTTGGAGAGCCTGAAAGGCAATACCTTACACTGTTAATGATTGGTCCATACTGTAAATCATAGGTACTTCTATCCATCTGGTGCACATGGTCTCTCGTTTCCTTTGCTGCTCCTAGTCTGGTTGAGAACTCAGATGCTCTATCCTTCAAGGAGTGATGTTTTGTGTTCTCCCTCTGAAATCTGCCTTCACATCTAGTGCTATAGTGCCTACCATCTGTCTCTGTAAATGAACGTTGTCTTTACCTGCAGGCTGCTTGATATGCCTATGATGGAGCTACCAGTGAAGGTCCCAGGGCAGTTGATGATGAGAGATCAGTATGAAGAAGTTACTCACCCTGTGCAGTAACAATGGTTCTTCAAGATGTGTGTCTCTGTGGGTACTCCACTCAGGTCTCATTGCGTCCAAAAATTGAAGATTTTTGCCTAGCAGTGCCTCCTGTGCTGCACATGCACAGTTGCCATCTTGTGCTATTTTCATCTGTTAGGTGTGCACGTGGCACGAGCCTCCCTCTGTTCCTTTTCTATGGGAAATCAGATAAAGGACTCCAAGTAGAGGGGAAGAAGGTAGGGTAGTGGAGCACCCATAAGGTAGAGGGGAAGAAGGAAGGGTAGTGGAGCACCCATAAGGAAACACATCTCAAAGAACCATTGTTCCTGCACAGGGTTAGTAACAACTTCTCCCTCAAGTGATGTTCCTGTGGATGCTCCACTCAGGTGACTTAGTAGCAGTACCCACCATATAGTGGTGAGTATTGGAGTTATTTATGTGAAGAAGCAAGGACCGCATCTGCTAGAGTGGTGGTAGGTATGGGTCCTTTCTGTAGAGCATAATGTACGAAAGTATAATTGGAAGACCATGTCGCTGCTTTACAAATGTCCACTAGTGGCGCATTAAGTAGGAAAGCAGTTGATGTGGCTATTGCAAGTGTGCAGTGTGCTCTAGTGGTCTGTGGTGGTCTTTTCCACACAGCTGGTAGGACGTGTATATGCAATTCGCAATCCACTTGGAAATCCATTGTGCAGAATGGCTGAGATGAAGAGTCTATCTGATTGCCTGGACACCTTGGTCCTCTCTAAATAAAAGGTATGACATCTAGAGTGTGAAAGATGCATTCTCTTGGAAAGATGTGAGGTTTAGGAAAATATGTGGTTAAGTATGTGGGTTCATTTAGGTGGAAGTCCAATATAACTTTAGGGAGAAATCTGAGATGAGGTCTGAGCAACCCTACCTTTAGTAAATGTAGCATATGGTGAGTAAGCCATGAGGACCGCAATTTCGCCCTCTCTTCTCGCAGATATTATTGCCACTTGGAAAGCACGTTCATGGATAGGCATTGCAGTTGGGTAGTGGCTAGTGGTTCAAAGGATGGCCTAGTGAGTGTGTCAAGTATGAGGATTAGGTCCCAAGGAGGTATAGGCAGGCGTAAATTTGGATGTATTTTCTGCAAGCCTGTTAAGAAACACTTCATCATGGAATGTGCAAAGTGTGAGAGATTGTCAACTGGTTCATGGAAGGCTGTGATGGCAGAGAGATGGACTCGAATTGAGCTGATGGAAAGGCCTGTGTCACTGAGACCCATCAAGTACTACTGTACGGTAGGTATGGGAGTGGTGTTGGGTTGGAATTGACAAATTCTACACCACTCCTGAAAACTTCTCCATTTGTTTTGGTAGGTATATCTTGTGGAGGAGCATTAACTATTCAGTAGGATGCACTTAACTCTCTCCAAGCAGGTAAGTTCTTCATCTTGGAACCATAGAGAAGCCATGCTATGAATTTCAGGTTTTCATGTAAAGGTCTTGCCCTGGTGCTGGGTTAGTAAGTGGGGACTCATGGGGAGAGGAATTGGTTGAGCTATTGATAGGTGACATAAGTAAGGTAACCAAGGTTGTCTTGGCTAGTAGGAAACTATCAGAATTAGTGAAAGACCAGTCCAAGTAGATCTTGTTGATTACTCTGGAGAGTAAAGGAATTGGTAGGAAATCAGAGTAGGGGAGTGGTCCAGCAGATGGTGAAAGCATTTGCCTCCAACCTTTTGCCCTGACCTGCTTGGGAGCAG